AGAACACTAGCTGTTGATAAAAATGTTTCCGATCTCCTTTGGGGACCAGCTAGGACGCGTGTCCCTGCCTCCCTTAGAGTTGGGTGAGAGCATCGACAAGGTCCTCCTTCCCACATTAGCTGGTGGTGAGTGGAAGAGAGGGACCTCATAGTTACTCTGCACTTCTAGAGGTCTTTAGGTACGAGAGTGAGGCAGGGTGGGGACGAGGGGTCAGGCAGTGGTATAGATGACAATAACAATAGTGGAAAAGGACAGGAACGCATTAAAGCCGATTCTATGTATACTACAGTCTGTGAAAAATACTGCTGAAAATATAGCGTCTACACAAGCAGGGGATTATCAGGTTTGCTCCTAAAGGAATCTGGAATGATTTTAAGAAAGACCCCATGCACTCGTTATGATGAGAATTCCTAGAGACAAAAATGAAAAGAAGCATCCATATGAAAGTGCTCAGACGCCACATTAGCAATGTTGATGAAATCATGCCAAGCACTACAGTACAAATTCTTTATCAAATCCACCCACAGAATAGGCCTTCACTGAAAAGCTATTCCGTCCCAGGTCCGGCGGTCTAGGAGGGAAAGCTTCCATCTAAATGAGCCTCATTAAGAAGCATCAGCATGATCAATGTTGTTTAAGTTAGAGGGAGAGTTACACACTGAGGGCCTAAGCAAGAAAAATGCCAGTGAAACCTGCCTTTCTGGTCAGCCTTGTAAGCTCAGAACATAGCCTTTCTCCTTTGGTAGCTGTGCAGGGCATATGGCTGATCCGAAGAATCCCAACACAGACATTTCCACACCCAACAATTCCGCCTTCCCCAAGATCACTGGGTAGCTGAGCCTTGTTAGAAACGGTTGTCCTCCAGGGCAGGCTGGCCCAGAACAAAGGCCAGCTCAGATGCCATCTGTCCCAGTCACAGATGCCTTGAAAGGCCCACAGAGCACAGCATCTGGGCAGAGCTTGCTGCACAAGCTCCCCGGGCCTGGCTTTGGTTTTCTTCTTTCATTCCGTACGAGAGAAGTGCCATTGTCCCTCTGACAGGTGAGACACCACCAACACCCTTCTCTAAGCTACAGCACCAGGAGAACAGCTTTCCGGGAATCTCCTGGAATCAGGCACGGAAATCACCTATCGCTCATCGCCTGTCCTGACACTATCTACTCATAAACAAATGTACCATGGGTAGAGGTTGACACTTGACCCCCTTGTTCAGTCAAAGCCTTTATTTTACTTTATTCTATCCCCTCCCACCCCCCCGCCTTTTAAAGGCAGCATCTCATGAATTCCAGGCTGGCCTTGAAGGATCTCGTACTTTGAATCCTCTTCTGCCACGTCTCGAGTGCCAAGATTACGGGCATGGGTAAGCATATCTGGTTTTTATGCAGTGGTGTAGCCTGAAACCAGGGCTTCATACAGCCCATGCATCACTCTACCCACAGCTGCCGAGCAAGGCTGAGGGTCCCCAATGAAGCCGGTCTTAAGCTTTGACTGGTGAGTGATAACTGTGTCAATCATGCCTACTGGGGCATTATTCACAGTGGCCGAGATTTGAAACCAGTCCATCGTCCCATCTACAGATGAAAGGATAAAGGAAATGCATCATCTACACCCGAGCAGAATAAAATGATGTCACCTGCAGAAAAACGGATTGAACCGGAAGTCATCATGCTAAGTGAAATATCCAGGTCGAGAAAGATAAAAATGACATTTTTATATGCAGAATTAATCTCTCTCTTTCCTCCCCCTTTTCCCTATTCCCCCCCCACAGGCATTCACACATGTGAAACTAGAAGAGGGACTATTTGTGGGAGAGAGGAGTACAAGGGAGGGAAATGGGGAGCAAATATGAACAAAGCTGATTATAAAAGTATGAAAATATACCATGATGAAGCCCATTAGTTTAAACGCTAAATAACATATTTTGCACACAGACCCACTATATGTAGACCACTATGCAGGCCCTGGGAATTGAACTCAGGTTGTTGGACCCCTCTCACTGATCCTTACAAACAGTATTTCAAGACTTGACTGTTAAACTTTTGGACATTAAGGCTGTAATACTCACTTCTTATTTTTTTTTTAAACATAGGTAAAGGTACTTGAAAAGCATTATGAGTCTCTGGTGTATGATAGGAGGAAAAGGTTCGTGTTTATATTTATTTTATCCACCCCCCCCACTAAATATGTCTTTTTAGATCCTTAGAGATGACCTAATTTGGTACCTCAGAGTTCAAAGATGCCCTTTGCAGTGCGGATGGCAACTTCCAATTACACAGCATTATATAACATTCCGAACTATTTTAAAATTCACTAAAAGGGTAAAAGAGGCTGTGAGCTCTGTCTGAGGTCAATCTCATGGGGCTCGCAAAGACTTTTTTTTTTTTATAGATCATTTAGAAAGATTAAAAGAATCCTACCTTGCCCAGTCAGTCAAAGACCCATTAAACATGAAAGAGGCCCTCTGGCTATGGATCCCCACCTCACCACAAAGTGTACGGCTGGCTATTTTGCTCTCAACTTGTTTTCATGTTTATTACCCCATCTCATCGGCGACCGATGAAATATAGGAACCATATATTTGGCTATGGCGACAGCCAAAATCATATCTGCCCTTTTCAAATGTTAAAGATTAAAACGACAGAGGCGTTGAAGGGGAAGGAGCAGGGAATGAGACAGAGCCACGGGACAGGGGTCCAGAGATTGAGGGAGTGGGTGAAAATGCAAGGCGTACACAGCAACGGGGCTGAGAAAACCAGCACACACAGTCCAGTGTTCCAAAAGCTTGAGGACTCAGTAAGGACATGTAGATGTCATCACTGCTGATAAGAGAAAGAAAAACATGGCCTGTGCATTTTGGATAGGTTTAATACAATATCTCTGCACATGGGAAAGAAGGTCTTTTCTCTGTCTGTATCACCGGCATGTGGAACCCAACCACCCAGGTTTCAAGGTTCTCTTCTTGGAAAGCAGCTAGCTGGGACAAGGCCAACTGCATTCTGTCTCTTAAGTGTCTGTATCTGAAGATACAGCGTCTGTATCAATAACGTTCACAAAACCTCACTGTTCATAAACCCTAGTGACAAAACCTCAGCTTGAGCCGTGGAGATTCTGTTCATAATGTATATAGTTAAAACATACCCCTAACAGAAGAATTCATTCGATTGGAAATGCTACTGCTTGATAGGAAAGCAGAGTAAAACAAAAGCCTAAGTTGGACTCAGAAGGCTGAGGCTCTTTCCCGTCTCTGTGGAGAGAGGGTCAACACGTCAGCATGGAGGCAAGCTCGCCAGCCTCTGTGGAGAGAGCGTTAATGCACCTGCACGGGGAAGGGAGGAACAACTTGGACGGCTTCAACCAGTACCGATGGGGTGAAACTTGGGTAGGAAAAACCATCTCTCGCTATTTGGTTTCTCTCATTCATATCTTATTTCTTCTCACCCAAATTTTATCAAGTAGCCTTGACGAAACAAAACCGAGAGAGAGTCTTCATGGAATAACAGTCGAGTAACTCAAGGTTTCTTCCTTAGTAGATGAATTTTGACGAGGTTTGATTTGAAAAGTTACTAAGAAAACGATAAGAGAAAAAACCAAACCGAGCACCAACCAATAACAACTTTACTAACGTTAAGTTTCCGAGAGGTTGTAAAATTGTTGGCCGTTTCACAGGTATTTCTTCTGACATCGTGGTGGAAAGTTAGGAACTGAGCCACTTTGGTCCGTTTGGTGCCACATATTGTTTTGGTTGAACATCAGCTAGCTTTCTGTTTTTACTGGGAGTGATGTCATGACGGCTTTTAGGATACAGTGTCTGGCTCTGTCATCCGTGGAACTCAACACAATCACGCTTTTAAATTTCCTTTTCTAAAGCTGTAAGCGTGTGTGCACTAGGTGGAGAATGTGCTCGTCAGCAAGCATCCCACAAAGTCTCAAACAGTAGCTAGCGTGGTGGCACACACCTGTCAGTCCCAGACCTTGGGGAGTGCGGGAAGGGGGTCTAGGAGTTCAAGGCCAGGAAAAAAAATCTAAAACAGACTTTAGTTACACAGAAGAGAGAGAGAGAGAGAGAGAGAGAGAGAGGGTATTTGGTGCACCACTAGGCAGCAATACGAGTAGCTTTGCAATGCACAGATTTACCCTAGAAGTACTAATATTTTTAAGAACGAGCTAATATCTGAGCTCTACTTAATCTTTACCCCTGGGAACTGATCTATAACTCACAGTCAAATAATAACTGAATTTTCAGGGTATCTGATCTGGCACATAAGGTGAGCTAAGCTCCCACTGAATAATTTGTATAAAGAATTAATATGGTAATCACTTATGCAAATTATGTAAAATGTTCATTATAAATGTGGACAGGAAAGCAAAACAAGGCAAGATCCAGGACTTTTCTCTCCCCCATTTACTCCCTCCCCAAACACAGCTCTCTGTTAGAGCGATGTATATATATATATATATATATATATGGTCAGCTAAGGGTCAGTTCCACCCCGCAGGCCCCACACTCCAGGACACAGAAGTCACAGCCTCTCGGGGGGGGGGGGGTGGGACAAGGTTCCAGGTAGCAATAGTTTCAGAAACTTCTAGACATACATGGAGAATTGCGATTCAGGTAAGAACAGATGTGTTCAGAGACATCTAGCATCTACTCACCAAGAAGCTTGGGGCACCCTCTGTCCCCATTATTACCTGCTCCACTAGCGGAGAGGGGCCCTGAGGTCCCAGGTGTGGAACTTAGCAGACAGTACGCTGGTTGAATATGTGCAGTGTCATCACCATTGCCCTCAACACACAGTTGATTTGCTATGCAACTGTTAACTACTCCATTGACCAGGTGACAGCACTAGGTTTCTCTTGTTAAGAACTTGCTTTACTATTCTCCTCTGGCATCATAGAAGACATATCCCCCACCCCAAACAAGGCCCTTTGCTTTCCGCTGTTCTTTTGCAAGCCCGTTTCTCCTGCTTGACAACCTTAAAAGCCTTCGGAGTCTGCCTTACCTCCACGATGCTTTTTAGGTCTTGCACGTAGGTCCTCTCCGTCTCCAGGATTTCTTGTACCACTCTATCCACATAGAGGAGCTTGGGGCTGGTGTCCGAGTCTGCAGTGGTTTGGGGTGCCCCATTTGTGTCCACTCTCCACTGGGTCCTGGGCTGCCTCTCGCTGACCCCATCCATGTTCGGTGGCCCGGAAGGGGTGTCCCTCTGCAGCTCGCTGCTGGAAAATGGCCGTGCTGGAATCAGCTCCAGCTTTATGGCCCCAGCTTCTTTATCCTGGCGAAATAAGCCCAAGTGGCTATTTGAAACCAAAGTCATTCTGCTGCCAATGGAGCCATGGCTGTCCCTGGAGGAGGCCGAGGATGAGGTGGAGCTGAAGCTGATGGGTCGGTCACTGTCAGAAAGCTCCATGGCCTTTGGTTCTGGGGACTGGGCAGCTTCAGCTGTGGTACTTGGATCAGGAACTTGAGTTACAGCTGGCGGCCCTTTTGGTTGCAGCCGGCGATGCCCATCTGCTTCCGTCGCAGAAAGATAGAAAAGAGAGAAGAAAGGTCAGTGAGCACCCTCTGAACAGGAGGAGGAAAGGAGGTCAAAACCCACCCCAGGTGTGAAGCATCATTAACAAGAGGGCGGCAAATGAGCTCGGAAAGGCAGGCTGGGAAAAGGAGGATGAACAGTTCAGAGCATCCTCTCAGCCAGCTGGAAGGGCAGCCGCAGGCTCTGCCCTAGGCCTTCTCTCCTTGATTCGGCAACTTAACAGATCACAGAACGAGCCCGGATACCCTAAACTGTGTGAAGCAGGACATCCATTGGGTGCTGTTTCTAAATGTGAGCACCTGTACTGAATCACATATGCAGATGGGTCCAGATTGGCGGGTGTAAAGGCTCAGCGGTCAGGGCACAAAGAACAGGCAACTTTAATCAACACAACAAATGGTTCTAGCGTGCTGAGAAGGGAGACTAATTCTTACACAATCTTGAGAAACGCTGCTTTAGATTTTAAGTCTTCCCTTATAATTCTACCGTTTCTAAGCAAGGAGCCTGGAGCATGGAGACTCACTTTAAGTGACATAAAGTGACACTGGCTGATGCACAGCTCACTCTCACACAGCACTGAACACAGAGCGGTGTGGGCTCTCTCTCTGTCTAAGGGGGGGGGGCGTGAAAACCAGGCTGAAATAAAAAGACCCACATCCTACCTCAAACTCATCTAGCACCTTAGCCTTTACCTAAAGCCCTTAAAAACTGGCATGCCAGGCTCAGCTGGTAAAGACACTTCACACAAAGCTTGACCACCTCACTTTGATCGCCAGGATCACAAGAGGGAGGGCGAGAGCTGACTCCTGCCCGCTGTTCCACATCTGAGCTGGCCCAGAAGAGGCCTTCAAAGTGCTTATATAGCATCTCCCTGTGTAGTTCTTTCTATAATGCCCATTTGCTCATTCTCTCTCTCTCTCTCTCTCTCTCTCTCTCTCTCTCTCTCTCTCTCTCTCTCTCTAATAAATAAATACATAAATTTATGTCACAGGAACCCTACCTGCCTAAGACAAACAGACAAGCACAGCTTTTGTAGTATCGATTAAGTCCCAACAGCCAGGAGCTATTGGAACAACTCCAGCAGTCCATACGCCAAGTCATAAAACAGCGGTTTTTAAATTAGGAACTAAGTGACGAGAAAAATTAAGCCCAGCTGGGTTGTTGGCATTTATGAGAAAGCGCAAGGTGAGACCATCTGCCAAGTGGGGAGGTGAAAATAGTTGCAGTGGAGGAAGATTATCTTGGGTTCAAAAAGGCCATAGCTGAATTTAAACCTTCCAAAATTATTCTTATGAGACATGCAAGATTCCAGTTTTTTTTTCAGCTGTCAAGACAGGATCAGTATCCCCTCGCCCCCATAATATTGAGATTGTACCTTACGATAAGGGATTTGATCAATGATGAAATTGGCTTCATCTTGGTAGGTCACCTTACTACCAAAATTCATCCTTAGAGGTTTTGTTTGAAACGGGAAGATTATACTGGAAAGATTATAATATGACAGATGTATTAAGAATATTGGTCCATGGTATTTCCTTGAGACAAAGTTTCTCTGTGTAGCACTGGCTGTCCTGGAACTCACTCTGTAGACCAGGTTGGCCTGGAACTTAGAGATCCACCTGTCTCTGCCTCCTGAGTGCTGGGATGAAAGGCATGCACCACCACCTATGGTCATTTTAATAGGAATGTAAACTTGTTTGGATTTTATAATAAACATCAAACAGCTGGTCCCTCTTTTTGGACTGTAAGTCCTTCAGAACCTCATCTTTTTCCTAGGCTATCTGCACAGAAAGTATCAGTGCCAGTCTATGAAACAAACGTTGGAACTGTGAACGCAACACGAAGACCCTCACTCTTGTTGACAACCAGAGAGAGTAAGAAAGACATAGGAAACGAAGACACTCAGGCCGCCACCACATGGTATGAGTTTGCTACGGAGTTTTAGTGCCTTTGAAATATGCTTTCTGCTTGCTCTGTAACAACTTTATAGCCCATAAAACATGGATTGGTTTGTAGTTAAAATACACTTGACCTAAAAGGCTTGATCTAGTTTGAGTGTGGCGAAGATCCAAGAAGTGGCCATGCATTCAAATCTGCCTGTTGTAGAATGCAGCTGCCAGCGCTCAGAACTGCTGGTATGTGATAGGCTGGGGAGATGGCTCCGAGTGTGAGGGGCTGAGTTTGAACCACCACGCCCACACAAAAGTTGACACAGTAGCGTGTGTCTGTATCCCTGATGCCCCTCTAGTGAGACAGAAGGTACAGGCAGAAGAATCTCTGCAAGCTTTCAGGGGCTTCCATCATAACTGTGACCCTGATTTTGGTCCCACTGTAGGGAATGGCCACTCTCTTGGGAAATAAGCAATCCTTTAAGATCCCAAAGGTCCAACATTGATTTAGGATCATTGTAAGTTGAATATGCTCACTACCCAAGGCCAGGACACCTGGAAAGGCCTAGATCAAACAATCGACCCCCATAGAGGGAGACAGGCTGGTCTCCAGAGCAAGTCCCTGCTTCCTGACTAGGCAAATGTCAGTCTTCTCTCTGGTCTAGGAAATGGTCTTTAGCATCATCGGGCACTTGGTACTAAATCCACGGGATGAGCGACTACAGAGGGACCCATTCCTTCCCCACCACCTCTTTTCTCTTTATTTTCACTCTAAGACTGGGAGTTGAAGGAAGAAGAATTTGGTTTTAGAGTGTAAGCCATGCTGCTATAGATGGGCACACCTTTGGGGTATCTTCAAAGATGGGCAAAGATGGCATATGACAGCCAGGTCCACAGACAACTCCTTCTGGGTTAATCTTAAACAGAAACGTGAGTGGGCCCTGGTCTAAGGATCCTCCTATACCTGGCCACTGAAGCCCCTGAGACCAGCCTATCTCAGATATATATTTATCTGCCAGTTAAATATCGTTTAAAACAGAAACGTGCAGATATTTGGTGTCTGTAGTGTTCAGCCAAGCTTACTTGGCCAAATACCTTCCGAAACTACCAAAGACAGAAATCAGACATTTCAAACCAGGCCATATAATGGCACGTGAGTGATGCGAGGCTATCCTTGTTAATGAGTAACATTTTTTATGTTGACTCATGGCTTAGAAGGTAATTACAGTTTTCTCATATAAGACAACATGCCTCATAAAAACTGTCTAGTCTCGCTCTCGCCGCCCTCAAAATAACTGGAGATTTCTACTGTCTGACCTCGTCTTTCTAATGAAAACCTCCAATGATTAACATTTATCAAACTGTGCTGCTCAGCATAGTAGTTACTAGCTATGTGGGACCAAGGAGCATTGGAGAAGTTCCAGAACTGGGGTGGGCAGTGTGTGTAGAATAAACGCCATTTCTAAATAACAATATAAGACAAAATTATCAAATATTTCATTAATTTTTTTGATTGTTTTTAGAAATAGTATTTTTGAATAGTGAGATAATTTTAATATCACATTAAAATTTTACCGGTTTTGTTTTACCTTTTAAAATGCCACTACCAACAAATATTAAATCCCATGTACAGCTTGGGAGGGTATATTTTTATTAAAGAAAGTTTATATGAAGATCGTTTAGATAATTACATTTCAGTCTGTAAATTTAGGACTGGAGAGATGATGACTTGGCGGTTAAGAACATGTACTGCTCTTGCAGAGGACCTGAGTTTGATTCCCAGCACCCATACTGGCTAGCTCACGACCACTGTAAGTTCAGCTCCAGGGGATCTGATGCCCTCTTTTGGCCACAGAGGGCACCTGCACACACATGCACATAACCCTCCACAGACACACATATACACATAATGTGAAATTATGATTAAAAGGCTTAAATTTACCTATGTATCTGTGGTTTTTTAAATAGTAGTGAATGGGATGATGCGTGAGACACACACGTGACTATTATCAGGGGAAAGGAGGGGCGAACTCTCGTACAAATGCAGAGGGAAGGTGGAGTGGCTGGTTTTCCACAACAAACTGAGCCAGAGAGAAAACTCTGCCAGGAACCTTTTCATTCTGCTTTGGGCGAGAGATTAACATTTGTATCGGCTCTGCTATCCTTCCTAGAGCGTCATTATCTTCCCAAGCCCCAAGTTGAGGACTAACGTTAGACAGCTTTGGAGAACGCCTCACCAAACATTGGCTCATGGATCATCACGTGTAGATCTTCTGACCATTACTACCATGAAACTAGCCAGGTCTGCCCACATGGGGGTCATTCATAGCCACACTCATCTTTGGTGAGCCTGGAGGTAGCTGGAGTAGAAGGTAGCACTTGCAAGGGTCTTGATGGCTTGCTGAGTCTGACAACTAGAGGTTGTTAGCCATAGTATAGCATCTGTGCACCATTCTCAATGAAGAGGCAGGACTTCCATTTCACTCCCAATGAGTCTTTGTAGGGGAAGCAACCCTGATGGAGGAAGGTCATTGAGCAATAAAGAAACTGCTTGGCTGGCCCTGATAGGTTAAAGCATAGGTGGGAGGAGTAAACAGAATAGAATTCTGGGAGGAAGAGGAAGTGAGGTCAGACTCTGCTCTGCTCCCGAAGAGACCCAACAGCTCTGCTCTCTGGAGCAGAGATGCCATGCTCTGCTCTCCCGATAGCTCTGCTCTCTGAGGCACACTCAATGAAGCTCCGACCCAAGATGGATATAGGTTAGAATCTTCCCGGTAAGCGCACCTTGGGGTGCTTACACACATTATTAGAAATGGGTTAGAACAATATGTAAGAGCTAGCCAATAAGAAGCTGGAACTAGCCGGGCCAAGCGGTGTTTAAATGAATACAGTTTGTGTGTTGTTATTTCGGGCATAAGCTAGCAGGCGGTCGGGGTGCTGGGGACGCAGCCCCACCGCTCTTATTTCAACACAACCCCATCCCTTGGCTTCCCTTTATTTGTCCTTTAGACAGCCATTATGTTAATTTCTCTCTTTGGGAATGCCACCATCAGAATCAAGAGCACTACTTGCTGCCTCCAACTTGT